AATAAAATTCTTTAAAGTCTTAATATCTATTATTTCATTAAATATATACAACTTATGTAATGAGGCCCCTATCTTTTTATCAGGTTTTTTTTTAAAACCAATGTTTATGCATAAATAATATTATAGTAAACATTTTTGAAAAAGCAAAAAAAATCTGGACTCACATTTTAGATTAGTTTTTTGGGCCAAATTCTTAAATTGGACTAAATAGACCAAAATGTATAGACATGGCAAGGCTTCTAATAACTTTCACAAAGCTATTTTAAGAGAATCTGCCTGAATTTACATTTCTAATGTATATGTGTAATTTTCTGATGAGACTGGTCGTTAGAAAACCTTACCAGTGCTTATATATGGAAGTACTTTAAAATTTTTTACTAATATTTGCTGAGTGTATGTTCTGTGCAAACTGTTATGCTGGCTATTATTAACTTTAGATCAGTTACCTTTAAAATGTGCCCGGGTTTGAATAAGAACTTTTATTGTTCAAAACTCTTCTTAAATGCTCTTTGAAATTATCTTCTGAGCCATAGATAATACCTCGTTTTTTAAAATCCTTATGGCATTATCTTAACTGATCATTTATTTCATTCCAAAGTCTTAGTGCCAGACAACTTTAGGCTGGCCCCAAAATCAATTCCAATCTAAAAATAATTAGTTATTTTTCAATATCATTTATCAAGCCTGCAGCTGTATTGCAGTATTATAGAAAGGGCACGTTCGTGGGGTCAAAAAAATCCCATTTTGAATCCCATTTGCTGGTGTTACGTGCATGGGTAATTTAGCTATGTGTTCTTGAACTTAGTTTTCTGAGAAATAGTGAAAATAATTCTCAAAGTGCTATGATGGAAATACCACAAGATAAGGTATGTGAAAGCACTTTTAAAAAATGACATGCAATGTATTCTTACGAAAATTTGAAGAGAACTTAAAGGTAAGCTCACAGTGGAAAGATATGTTTAAATAGCGTGTCGCCACAAAAAATGATAACTGTGAAGTAAAGTATATGTTAATTAGCTGGATTTAACTATAGTGTATACTTCAAAATATGCTATATATGTAAACACATTTTTTTCTCAATCTTAAAAAATAAATGAATACATTTAAAAGAATTATGACTATATTTTCATCATAGGAAAATCTTACAATTTTGTTTTTCCCCTGAAATATTTGCAAATAGACTACCTCCAGAGTTTTCATCTTTGCTGTAGTACTCATATACATTAAGCTATAGATAGAATATAGGCGCTTCTTTTATTAGTCACCATCTAGAAAGCTTTTAATGCCAACCAACTGAAATTACTTTCAATGTGATCCCCAGCATTGAATGTTATTTTCCTCCTAATTTGTCCAGTAACAGGTCATAGTGAAAGATTTTGCTGGTATTTCTGGTTAAGTCAGGATAGTTTAGTGTTTTGATGGCCCGATTCTGTTATTACATCCTTTCATTTCCCTCAGAGAGGTACTATAATAATCGAGCTACCCATTTCCAAGATTTATTGCCTAAAACTTTAAAGGGTCATGTATTCTATCCCTTAATTTATTAAAAAGTTAAACCCGAAAGTTTTTATTTAATAGATTTTCTTTAGTATTTGCTTCCAGAAGTTGCCTCTTTTTTCCCTCTATTCCTTGTCTCCACCCTCCGCTTCTTTTCCTTTCTCACTCTTAATCCATGGTTGCTCCTATTCACTAGGTTATTTTAAAATAGCTCACAGAACTCCATTTTTGGTGGTGTGGGGGTGGTAGACAGGCAATAGCACCACTAATAAGTTAGCAGATTAATTGGCTGGTTGACAGGTAGTAGTGAAATTGAAGGCAAAGCAGGGTCGGGGGACCACACATAAATGACTACATTCTCACTGCCACTTCTACATTTTAGCTGGATCACGGTGAATGATGTGGCACTGGGATGCGTATCTCACTATGTTTTGAACAAGACGATTTCTACTGGGATTATATCCAAAAACTTGAGCATGCGATTGCTCTTATTCCTTTCCATTCTCCAGCCTGCCTCCGACACTTTTTCTATTCAGCAGGCTGTACGGTAGCCGCAGGTTGGGCTGTAAGAATTGGAGTATTCTCAAGGAATGACTGTATACCTGCTCTTGATAAATGGAAGCTCTGATACGGTGTTCTGTGTGAATGTTTCTGATCATTTGTGAATTTAAGAATCTTTGGGGGGTTCAAATTTATTTCTGTCCAGAAGCTTGCTCTGGACAATTCTAAAGTAGGAAGTTCTTGACAAAGAGCCTAAGGATCCATTATCTTTTGGCTATAATGCAGGACAGAAATACTGATTTTTTTTTTTCTTGACTCCAGCTGTATTTCTGAAACCTGAATCTACAGATTTGTTTTTCTAATAGGAAAAAAAAATTAGAATATACCCCAGTAACAAAATATGATTGAGAACTTGGCGGAAGTATTTTAGTCAACGAATAGGTTCTTTCACATGAATACCAGAGGCTGTACCAATTTGACTATTTCAGGGAAATTTGTTCTGTCTGAGAAAAGGACCTTGTATTTTTGGCTCATTTTCTCAAAATACAAATGACTATAGAAAAAGCAGCATTTTACAGGTCTGTCTTGAATTGGTGTGTTTGTAATAATGTCAAAAGCAATATTTAATATAATCATTGACTGTTATTTAAAATATATTGTATAATTACAACATTTTTCGTTCTTATGTAGTTATCAAGAACATTTTGTGTTGTTTTCTTATTTTTCTTTCTATTCCATTTTTCTTTGGTTCTTATGGCTCTAACTTTGTTTCTATTTCAATATATTGAAATTCAGTACTTCAGTTAAAATTTGCTCAAATGCTGTATCTTTCAGCATAGCAGAATTAGTCAAGTGCAAGTGATAATGAATTTGAAGAAATGTTGATCATATTCATGAATTCTAAATATCTAATTGGGGCCCCTTCAAAATACAGGTCTTTCATGCTGTTTTACCACCACTGCATATGTGAAGGTCTGCTTCTGTGTGTAGAAGTTTGTTAAAAGCTATGCCATTGTAGTTTCAGTTTCCTAAGTTGGGCCACCTATTCGTTACTCTTACTTTTTCAAAGGTATCCTAATTGCTGTCTTCCCTCACCCAGACTCAAGCAGTCGCAGTATGTTTTACTGTGTCCCTTATGTAAAGGATGAAGAGAAGAATCTCTTGAACCTGGGAGGCAGAGGTGGCAGTGATTCAGGATTGCACCATTGCACTCCAGCCTGAGCAGCACAGTGAGACTGTGTCTCAAAAAAACAAACAAAAAAATCTGGTGAGTGACATACTAAGATCACACACTTATAAAGGGGCGGAACTGGGCCTAGAACCCACTAAGCCTAGTCCTCAGTCCACTCTGCACTGTCATCACAAAGTGAAAAGATCTATGGCGAAGGAATTGAGAGAACCCAACACAGGATTGCCTTGTTACTGTGCTATGTATATGCAGTCAGCAAGTGATGTAGATATGGGGAATGCGTATCCTATACGGTTTCAATCCAAAGTGGCAAGTTTGATAAGTTAGGTCCCTCTGCATATATCTCTGAGCGTTGCTTTTACGTGAAACAAACAGGGGATGTGCTGACAATGGTTAGATTGTAGGCGTGGCTGGAAATGCAGAACCACGCTGCTGTCTTAGTGGTGACCTCTCAACACTGCACACACAGCCTTGAGTGACAGAGGTCCTTGGGTGCCACACTGATCTTAGTCCATGTGGGAAGCTGTTCCCCTCTTCTAGCTTACTAGATACCATCTGCTCTTAGCCTTCACCCTAGACCATGCGTTGGCACCTTTTCCTACCCTCACCTGTTTGATAGTGAAAAGCTGTACACTTTGATACCTCAACAACCCATTTATAAGTTTTAAATTTTTCTGATTTATTACATATACATTATATATACAATAAATAAATATATATTTAATAAAAGAACTATTAAAATTGCCTGGGGAATCTTCTAGCATCTTGGAAAAATATGCATTCACGAAGTTACAAAGTTCAGGAATCCACAAATCTCTCAAAACAATGATATCTTCTATTATTTTTACATTGCCTAACAAAAAGAAAATAAAGGCAGATCATATTTTATATAATCTTTGGCTTATGTGTTTAAATTTTTGAGAAAATGAAGAATTTAAAACCTGAAATCTGTGTCTACATGCATTTGAATACGTGCACATTTTGTAAAGGTGACTGACAACAAATGTATCCAATATTAACTGCATTTTTCCATGAGTGGAAACAATTTGGGAGTTCAGTGCAGTAGAAAGAGGATGTTGTATGTATAGCATACAGTGACGGAAGACATATTACATAAAATGATTTTGTGAAGAATATAGCAGTCTTTGGAGACTCAGCTAACAGATTTTTCGAAGTCATGCTAATCATTTTCAAAACAGGCAAATTTATGGAAATGTAAGTTAGATTTCAGTTAGATACTAACCTGATTTCAGGTCAAAACTTATTCATACCATCAGAATATTTTACAGTTGGAAAGTTGCATGGATTGCCCAGAATAGGAGGAAAGGGGAAGAAAGAAAGAAAAATGCCAAGGAAAAAAATAAGGCACCTGTTAGCTCAAGCATAAACACTGGAACTCATTAAAATCATTAAAGATTAAGTCAGTTGAAAAGAATTACCTCATTTTTCCCATTCTAACATTTCTAAAAAATAAACACAGGCAAACCAGCCATAAACCACTATGCAAGTAAGTGCTGCGGTGCAAAAGTAAAAATTTGAACTGCATTCTCCTTGTTGGAAATTGGAAGATGAACTGTGGCTTGGGATCTCCCAAAAATTCTAGTTAGTAGGATGTGCTGGAAAAGGGGACAGGTGTTAGATCATGACACACATCCATTTTATTTTAAAGGCATGCTCTTAAAAAATACCATTTATGAGGTATGGAAACATTCATGCACTTTCCTTAAGCACTATATATATTTAAGACCTTCCTTGGATTTGATCCATAATGTTTCCCATATTTATTTTAATTTTTCTTGCAGAAATTGCTTTAGCAAGTGTAGGTATATGTCTGATCCCAAGTCTAAACCACTAATCTTGCCCTAGCATCTTCTCCACTCAATAATAAGAATGGAATTCTTTTATGCTCTGAAATTTGGCACTTTGTCCAATAATTGGGATATTTCTTAGGGGAATTAAGAAGCATGTTCCCCTGGCACTTTGCCCCTTCTGCCTTATGAGGACTGCTTCATTTATATCATTGACTGCAATCCTCTTTTGAAATGAGTTACATCCTGTGGGGCTGGGGAGAGGGAGTAGCATGGACTTACTCAGTGGTTCAGTGAATTACAGAATTTTCATGGGATTATAAATCCACTTCTGGATACAAGTATTTGACAAACAGAAATAATTGCTGTTATTTGTAAGCTTTCATGGACCTTGAAAAGAAAGGAAAATTAGTCTTTGTCAATTGCTTGGATGTAGCTTGTCTATAAAACAAAAAAATCACTGTGGCACCCTACTTTTCAGCATTCATTTGAACAGCAATGGGGGCCTTTTTGGACAGCCTGTTTAACTGCTCAACAGCTAGCTTTCCGGTTAATTATGCATTTCAAGCTAGGAAGCAATGCATTCGTGCCAACTTCAAACTGCTGAAATGGTCTAGTTCTGCTTTCAGATCATGAAAATGCAAGAAATGTCAGCCTGAGTCAGATCAATGGTCTTTAGAGCCCATATTCTATCTGTTAATAAATATAGGACATGGAAGACAAGTGAAGGAATAACGATTTATTAATTATTTCTTGGATTTCTTTCCTAAACATGAACAAACTCTGGAGATACTGAATTTTACATATTTGATAGCTGTTTCATAAAATCATCTATTTAAGTGTGTTTTTTTCAAATCATTGTATCTATTGCAAAAAGAAAGTATTGTCATATTTACTGAAGGCATCAGCAAAATTGATGCATTACAGAGGAAATGTAAAATGGTTCTTAGTGTTTGCAAGTGAGAATTAAAAAGTTGATAGTCCACAGTTTGACCCTCATAGTCATACACAACCAGAGAAAAAAAGATACGTTGTCAGATGTGTATACAGAGGAGCCTCTCTTCCACTAAGATGGACAAGTGTAAAAGCTGATAGAGAATTATGCTAGGCTGGGTGCCGGGGCTGAAGGCTGTAATCCAGTACTTCGGAGGCCAAGGTGGAAGGATTGCTTCAGCCCAGATGTTCAAAACCAACCTGGTCAACATAGTGAGACCACGTGTCTTTAAAAAAAAAAAAGAAGTAGGCTGAAATTTATGGATTTGCTTTATCCTGATAATCTAAGGCTAGTATTCTCTACTAGACACCAGTGTATCTGCAAATTCATGATAAACCTAAATTAATGAAAAGTTACATTTTGAAATTATCAAAAGAAATAGTAACACCTAATATTCAGAAACAATAAAAGCTTTTTACTTTCTTAGGGTATACATGGCACTGTCAGGAGTTTATTTTTCTTCATAGCTATATTTTTATGCTCTTGCTTTCAGAGACAATGCTATTATTATTCATTAGTTACACATGTGTTTTGGATGCCAGAATGCTTTCTATGAATAGGTTGTGTACCTTATGAATCTTGCAGAGTAAATATTCTTCATCTAGTCTAATGTTGAAATTCAGGTTAGCTGTGTATTAATAGAGGAATGGCAGAGGGAAGAAATTATAACTGCAAGGTCTTCCAGACTACTGACAAGGCTGCCTGGAATATTTAAAGAGTCAGATGGTCCATGACTTGACTGTTTTGGAATTATAGGGTTCTACTGAATTTACTCCTGCAGGGATACCGTGGGCAAAGACCTAAACTCCTCCATTGTGGTCAGTAGTGTCTTTTTTTGCTACGGATAGAGACATTAGCTCCCGTTGTGTAGAAAGGGGGTGAGGGGTGGGGTTGGGGGATGGGGAATGGGGAATAGAGGCTGGAACTCTTGAAACATGAGCCCTTGAGAAAGCTCCCTGGCTTTACATTGATAATCTGATAACCATGAAGCAAGAGCATTTCTTCCTTAAGTAATTAAGAGTTTATTTCTTCTTAATGCTTGGGTTTAATGGGAGAATTTTTGCTTTGCAAAAGGTTTGCTTTTGAATAAAGGGAATTGACATACTGTACTAAATAATGCCAAATGGCTTGGTATATTTAAGCTTGCCTTTTTAATGTTTCATATTCAGTGAGGATTAACTTTAAATACCAATTTAATCTAAATTTAAATTCCAAAATGTTTTCATGTGTTGCTCTTGATATGTATTGTACGTAGAACCTACATCTTATACATCTGAGTGTCATTTATGGAAGGCACAGATATCTAATTAGGGGAGAAATTCGTGGCTTTAATTTGTTAACTGTGACTCAGTTCTGGAACAATAAGTTACAAATACAAATCAAATGGCACAATTGTGTCAGTAGCTGATAGCAATGGCTTTCATCTGAGAGACGGTTTACTGAGCAGAAAAGTAAAGGAGCAAGTGATGAGGGTCTAGTCAAGTTGAGTAGTTGAATGATGACTCCAAGACACTTGCAAGCTTTCCTTTTACTTTTCTGTGATGAGAAAAAAAGATGGGGTGGAAACCCTGTAGAAAGATGTGGTGAAGAGTTTTTCTTTTGCACTGGAAAAGATGACAGCCATAATTAGGGAAAATGTGGAGCTTAATCCAGGCCATGATGAAAATCAAAGGACATATGAAGTTCTGTTTATCACCTATGTTTCAATCAATAAAAGCCTTCGGCTGTGCTGGAAGGGAGTCCCAATCTAGATCCCAAGAGAGGATTCTTGGGCCTTGCATAAGAAAGAATTCAAGGCAAGTACATAAAGTGAAAGCAAGTTTATTAAGAAAGCACAGGGAGAAAAGAATGGCCCCTCCATCCTCAGCGCAGGGGCATGGAATGCTTAACTGAAGATACTTACAGTTACTTCTTAATCATATGCCAAAGGGTGGATTATTCATGAGTTTTCTAGCAAAGGGGAGGGCAATTCTTAGAACTGAGGGTCCTCCCTGTTTAGACCACATAGGGTAACTTCCTGATGTTGCCATGGCATTTGTAAACTGGGTGCTGGTGAAAGTGTCTTTTAGCATGCTAATACATTATAATTAGCATATAATAAGCTGTGAGAATGACCAGAAGCCACTTACGCCACCATCTTGGTTTTGGTAGGTTTTGGCCAGCTTCTTTACCACTTCCTTTTATCAGCAAGGATGTACCTCATGCCAACCTCCTGTTGCATCCTGTGACTAAGAATGTCTCACCTCCAGGGAAGGCAGCTCTGTAGGTCTCAGCCTTATTTTACCCAGCCCCTATTCACTATGGGGTCACTCTGGTTCAAATGTCTCTGACAGTTATACACATAAAGTTAGAAAATTAGATATGGGGCAATCTATACATGTATTTTTTAGTTCCCAATTACAATTTTTTATGAATACTAACTTCTGTACTTAGACACATGACTCATAAACTCAAGAAAGAAGAATCATTAACAGCCTTTACTCATTTTAATGAACTAAAAAGCCTCATAACCACACAACCCAAATGTAAGATCAATATATAAAAATGAGTATAGATAGTATTCAGTTAGAAAAATCTTACGCTAAATGTAAATAGAATCTGCTTTGGTTTCGTGACTTTGGGAAACTTTATTTTCCTCTTGATGTGACAAAAATGTACATATTAAAAACTCACAAAGGTTTCTTTTCTTTTTTCTTTTTTTTTTTTTTTTTTTTTTTTGACTGGTCTATTCATTCCAAACCTAATTTCCTTCTATACAAGGAGCTTTACTAGGCAGTAAAATGAATACCAAGTTAAATTTAGTAAGGGAGAAGAAATGTTTGTAAATATCTGTAATACAAAGAATATGTTAAAGAAAATAGCATAGAACAAAAATGGGTAACATGGAGATTTAGACCTTGAAACGTGTGGGCAACATTCTAACAGCCCAAGTTGGGTAAAGAAGTAACAGAAATAGTATGAACAAAGACATAGAGGCAAGAAAATTTGTACCGTGTTTAAAGAATGGTACAAGTATAGTTTTTCTGAAGTGTAGGGTTCTGAAAGTGATGGTATTTGGAAGATAACACTGCAAAGTGCCCCAAAGAAATGTCAGATGTGGTACAAGGATCATTATACCCATATAAGAAGTCTTGCAATCAGGTTTTTCCCTTCATTCTGTGTGATAATTTCTTCAGCTGGAAAATAGTGATCACTGTGCCCAGCTCACAGCGCCCTATGATAACGTCTGTGTTTTCTAAACTGTAAAACACCATGCAAACACAAGACATAGACGTCCTTCTCCTCGTAGCATCAGAATTCCATGTGGCTTCCTTTTCCTCCTTCTCTCTCCCAGGTCCTTCAAATGTGGCTTTTCCCACTGAGTTTATTGCTCCCTGCCCATTTCCTGCCTTTCCTTATTACAAGGAGAATTGGCTCTCTGGGCAGGGCTCCCTATGCCAGTTGGCAGACAAAGTCCTTAGAAGGCAGATGCTCCAATTCTGACATCACCACCAAAATCTCTCCTAGTTTTCTGAGAAGAGCCCTCCCCTACCCCCATCTTGCAAGGGAACTGGCACCTTTCTTTCCCTGTCTCTCTGTCCCTCCCACCTCATTTTCCCTCTGAAGGAGGTAGTTCATTCCCCTCCTTAGTTCCCCAGTGGGGACTGAGTTTGCCAGCAGAAACACCCTCTCTTTTCTTCCCTCTCTGCCTGCCTCTCCTTCTCCCCTTTCCTCCCCATCTGATCCATGAAAGTTTTACAAAGGACTTTGACTTGGGCCAAGAGAAAACAAAAGATTAGGAGAGAAGAGTCTAGTGAATGCATGGTTTGATTTGAAATTTGCCATATTGCCAGGGATATTTTGACTACACAGCTTGTAGTTTCCTTTGTGAATTCTCAGATACCCCAGGCTGACTCCTTTTCTTTTTCTTTCCTGGATGAGTCTTCTCTTCAATTATGTGCCCTCATCTTTCGGTTCTAGGATTGGCCTTCAGCCCCTGACACTATTCTCCCTAAACTTAAGGTATCCATTTGTTTAATGGTAATGAATGTAGTGATGAATGATATAAGTTGTTAATTGGCTAAGGAATTTAGAAAGATGGTGGTTTTCATTATGTCAGTTTCAGCAACTTAAGACAGTTTCACAGTTATTCATCAATGATTTTTCCCCCAAATGTCCTTGGTAAAAATGACAAGGGCTATTTACTTAATATTAGTATTTCCCACAGCATAGCATTTTTGGAAACATAGCAATGTAAGGCCCCTAGGGAGCATTTAGATGGTTTTTCATTCTGGTGAGAGTCAGATTAAAAATCGCAGTCTTATTTTTTAGATCTAGACCTCTAGAGATGAAGCTATTCCAGACCTGCATAAAATTCCTTCAGCCAACTTCTTCAAGGGTCTGAGAAGATCATCCTAAGAGCCTAGCCTAACCTGCAGCAAGGTTACAGTGGCCATAACCTACCTGGCATGTTATTCCTGTTAATTTTTCCCTAAACTGCTGTGGTCCTAGTGTGGGATATGTGAAAAAAGGGAGACAAGGGGTAGGGAGGGCTTCACAAAATAGTCAGTGAATCTCATATTAGGTTTCCCGAAGTCATCTTGTTAGCTGCTGATTGCTGTCTAGATTTCTTATTAGGAAGCTAAATCTAACAGAAGATCTTTAAGCATTTCTGCAGTTCTGGTCTAAATCAACAGGAATGAGGTGATAGAGTAGAAAAACGAATATGCCGTCAATAACTAGGAACTAGACAGTAACATGATATATGGTGGGGAGTGGATCTAGATATGATGCACGTGTTAGTAATGTAGGTCAAAATACTCCTATGCTGGCTGGGCGCAGTGGCTCACGCCTGTAATCCCAGCACTTTGGGAGGCTGAGGCAGACAGATCACGAAGTCAAGAGATCGAGACCATCCTGGCCAACATGGTCAAACCCCGTCTCTACTAAAAATACAAAAAAATTAGCCGGGCATGGTGGCACGTGCCTGTGGTCCCAGCTACTGGGGAGGCTGAGGCAGAAGAATCGCTTGAACCCAGGAGACGGAGGTTGCAGTGAGCCGAGATTGTGCCACTGCACTCCAGCCTGGAGACAGAGCAAGACTGTCTCAAAAAAAAAAAAAAAATCGATACCATCCTGGCCAACATGGTGAAACCGTATCTCTACTAACAAATACAAAAATTAGCTGGGTGTGGTGGCATGCGCCTGTAGTCCCAGCTACTTGGGAGACTGAGGCAGGAGAATCACTTGAACCCAGGAGGCAGAGACTGTAGTGAGCTGAGATCGCACCGCTGCACTCCAGCCTGGCGACAGAGCAAGACTGGGTCTCAAACAAACAAAAGGACTCCTATGTTGATAGTGCCGAAAGCCTTCTCTAAAAAGCCAGCCAAATTGGAGGCTAGATCATCAGCAAGAGGAATTGAAGAAGTTGATTCAGACTAGGGAGAGAGACCAAGGCATGTTGTGCCTCTCTTGAGCCTGGAATCATATTTGCATTGAAAATAAGCTGGAAAAGAAAAAGTGACTCCATATTTTAAGAACTAAAAGACTGTGGGTACTTCTGGGTTATTTTCTTTCAATGACTGCAGGAAAAAATTGTTTTTTCAAGCTGGCACTGGTGTCAAATGAACAGAGGGTCTCCCCATTCTGTTATTTTCCTGGCAGCTGAAGCATCCATTGGCTCAGCTGTTTAATGTGTAAGTTCAGCGTCCCACAGGCCATTCTCCATAAGGCAGCAGCTACCCAACCATAATAAATTTAGTGTCAGGCCTGCATTCAGAGCACACTGTGTCCCACTTTAAGAAATTGCCCTGGGTCATGTAGCTAGTTGTAGAAATCCGTGCAAATGATGGTGATTCCCAGGGAAGAAAGATAATATTTTTCTTTGACCTCGATATCTGTTTCTATTCACAGAATGGTTCTCCTGGTGAGAATCTTTTCCACTTCTGAATACTTTGTGCCACTTGTCTCAGAGTAGGGCCTGAGTATTGCCATATTTACGAAACTATACATAAGTGGTTCTGACATGCAGCTAGAGTTGAGAAGACTGATCCAGAATGGCCAGGCTCAGCAAATGTATCTGGATAAATAGTAGTGATAACATGAAAACCTGCAAGTGCACAGATTGTGCTCATGCCCACAATCAGTTGACAATGCTTCTTTCATTGATTATCCAGCAGTGAAAATTGATTTGCAGTGAATTCTCTTCTCTAGTCCTCATTGTGAGCAATGGAAAACTTGAGATGAACTTTGACTATAGAATGGGACAAGCCAATTATTCCTTGTTGGAACTGACCCTGAATTTTGTTGTCCATAATACTTGCTTTTAATCAACTTAGAAAACTGACCTGAAAGTCATAAGCTAAACCATCAATGGGCACATTAGCTCATGACACGTATACACCAGCCCCTAACAGTGGAATATAATTCCTAAAGAGAGGAAGGGAAGGGGTGGAGTCAGACACTTTCTTGAATATCTGCTATGTGCCAGGAGTTACGTTAAGTACTGTGTGTCTTCTCCTTTAATCCATACAACAATTCTTCACCTTTTTCCTGTTGAATAAAATTCACTGATCTCCTGATCCACTCCTTATACAGAGTGCTGAAATAGTCTCATCAACAACTTTCAGTTAAAGAAGCAATAGTTAGACATTACTTTCCCAGGGCCATAGAAATTACAGATTTAAACCCTAGATCTTATCAAACCTTGTGCAAACTGACAAAGCCCACCTCCCCTAACACCATCCTGAACAGTGCGTCCCTGTAGACCAGCTAGAAGACCAGCTCAGAAAGTCGTCATTATCACTGGAATAATTGTCATTGATACAGCAACCTACAGTTTCTCTTGCTGGTTTGCTTCTTTAGTTTTTCTTCTTGTTTTATTTAGTTATTAGAGATGATGGTGGTTAAAAGGATGCTGCTTAAAGATAAAGACTCACTTAGACTAGTCACCCCTTTTTCTTTTTAAAGAAACATAAGGTTACAGAAAAATTTAATGAATTAATGTATTTCTCAACACATTTTTTAATTGTCAATTAGTTCTTCCATGTTATGTACATAATTTAAAAAGTGTTGCGTTGCTTGTTACGCTTTGGTACCGTCTTATTTTTTAATCCATTGCTTTCAAATTTCTACCATCATCTTCTAATGATCTTAAATTTCCACTGGGTTACTAGAATAGTGTTACCGTGTTGTTATTATTATTATTATTGGCAGCAGAATTGAAATCTGGAATATAAGTGGTTTGCAGACCACCCATAGGTTCATGTAACCATAGAGATTCATGGTTGAGTAGTTGAGCACCTGATTTCTATAGGAAAGGTGGTGTTCTTCAAGTTGCTGCCTAATTAACAAATACACTCCGTGGACCAAGGATTTAAAGGAAAAGAATGGTCATGCTTTGTACAATTGAATGAGTATTTGCCACTAATTACATATACTTCACATTTTCTCTTAGAGACCAACTGCTTTAAAAATATTTTATTAAGTGTTTTTGTTATCCTAACAGAGATGCATTCCTTTAAGGGTGTTTCAGCAAAACATTCAAGGTTTCAGGAAGTATTATCTTTCTCTCCTTTTACCCCTTTCCCATTTCCATAAAGTTAAAAGGAAATGCACAGGCAAGTCTTTGTTCCCGGAAGAAAATAATAAGAAATATGCTGGTTTTATAGAACAATATGAACAATTATAAGAATCTATGTAAAAGGCAGCACGTGTTCATTATCCATGCAGACTATTAGTAAAATTGAATGGAGGTTCTCCTCATCTGTTTTTACTTAGAGCAGGACTTTCTTGCAATGAAGTGCTTAGGAAATAAGCTGTGTTCTAATTCTGTAAAGCCTTTGGTTAAGAAACAGCTTTCACTCTACATCCCTATCTATTTTTTTCTCATGTCTTAATTTTGAGTTCTTATCACTCTGGTAATAAGCAGACATTTCTGAAAATCAAAAATCCTACAGTTCCACTGTAGGGTTTTTTTAGTTTTTCTTTCTCTTCCACTGCCTTTCTTCTCTTAGAGTGATAAATATGTCAGATGGGAACCTAAAGTCAACCTCTGTGCTGTCTTCCTCTGACTTATATGTTCTCATCCAAGTAGGGGGCATTTCCCATGAGGACCCAGACAGATTTCTGGAACACCACAAGCAGGGCAGCCTTCGGATTTGACTTGAGAAATTAGGAAGAATCTAGTGCTCCTGGCTAAGAGTACCAGTGATAAAACTCCAGGTGAGCACAGACCATTGTCATAAGGCAGGCCTGCACACAGGTCTGGATACGTATGTTTACAAGTAGTTTGTGGCCTGAATTGCAGGGCTAGATCAGATGTGAGGTCTGATTTACATAATGCTAGAAAGCGTGTAGTCAGTCAGGAGACTCAGGGAGAACTTTTTATTTGATAAAGAAATGAAACTGTTGACTTTGGTTTCTTCAACAGGAGTTTCTACCTCTTCTTTTAGATTTCTCAAAAGGTTTGTTTGTTTGTTTGGGTGGTTGGTTGGTTGTTGTTTTTGCCCTTACCCTCAGAATTAAGTAGATTAAGGTAAATTTTTGTCTTAAAGAGCGCTGTCCAGCTCGTCCCTGTTTTCTGAACATCAGTGGTCTGTGAAATCTATAATCAGTAGGTGAATTAGTTTGTTTAGACAGACATGAGCATTTGTTCACATCTCCTATGGGATTTTGTGGAAAAGAAGAGCTCACCTCCTTAGCTCAAGAATCTTTTACTTCAGTGTCTCACTTCCTCCCTGGGACTGGGGTAGAGTTCTTGGCACAGAAGATGCTAACCATTGACTTTCTGGGAGTCTTAGCACAAATGACAACTTCTGTGGCCTTCAACTTCCCCAAGCTAGCATAATGGGTAGATTAATATGTTCCTTTTTGGCAGGAATGGAAACTTTTTTTTTTTTTTAAAGAAGGAGGAAAAAACATGTTGTGCTAAATCAGTGATTACTATGGCAACAGGAACTCTATACATGTTAGAAAAAAAGAAGAAAAATGCAATCACAGTTCTTTAAAGAGAAAGATAGCAGATATAGGTTCACAAACTTTTTTTTTTCAAAAATCGAAAAATACGTAGTAGATATCCAATAAATGCTCTGTATAATTTTATTGAAATGTCTAACAGAAACTTGGTGATAAAACTGAATCTGCCATTTGCTTTCTACAGTTCTGTTTTAGAAATTC